ATTTCTGATAATAAGAATATAACACATTGGCACAAAACAATATTTTTGAAAAAAAAGTCCCCCTAACTTAACATCTAATGGAAAATGAGAATTTGTTAAGAATTATTATCATTTTTTTTTCATTTTGGAGATCAGAAAACTGAAACTCAGGTTAAGTCATTTATCCAAGATCTTCACCAGAAAATGACAGAGCTATGACATGGATCCCTGTCTACGTAGCTTCAAAACTCATATCTACTACCCTTTTAATGAAGTCATATGGGTTAAAGCTAAAAAACAGAAAAGTTCATATAATTACAAAAAGCCTTGAATATGGATATGAGAAGTGAAGTGGTGGCAGTGGAGACAAACGGGGTGGGGGTTTGTAAAAGGTGGTCAAGAGGTACAAATTTCCAGTGACAAGATAAATAAGGACTGGGGATAGAAAGTAGAGCATGATGACTACAGTTCATGCCGCTGTATGAAATACATAAGAGTTGGTGGGGGAGCAACTGCTACAAGTTCTCATTGTGACGAAAATTATTCATTTTTCTTTTTTTGTTTTCTCTTTTCGTTGTGTCTATATGAGATGACGGTTGGCAACTAAAGTTATTATGGTAATTATTTCACAATATCTGTAAGTGAAACCTTTATGCTATGAACCTTAAACTTACAGTGATGCATGCCAATTATATCTCAATACAACTGGGGAAAATTTCAATTAAAAAATCCTTAATACAAAGAGAGCCTGGGTCTATGAATAAACTAGAATGAGAATTGATACACTCATTTTCTGTTTATTTGTTTCTTAATTTTCTTTTTCAAAACAGGGTTTTTCCTCAACATACATGCTCTAACACTGCTTAGCTGTTGATATCAACTCAACCACAGATTACATAATCCTCCTTTGATGGAATAATATTCATTCATTCTTTTATTAAGTATAATGCACCATCTTCCATGTTGATTTTTCATATGTTTATCTAAATATGTAAAGAAATAGACATCTATTTATTTTGGCCGAGCTTCATATTCATAGATGAATGAAAGGACATTCTAACTATTCTCTACCATCAAAACTCATTTTTACACATTAAATCTTTTAAGATAAGTAACCATCTTTCTTCTGTGAAGACTTCCTACTGGTTCAGAAAAAAACTGATGCAAGCTCAGACTTATTAAAAGTACAATTTTCAAAAAAACTGAAATGTATGAATCTCATAGAAAATATATAGTGGGCAAATGTCAAAGATTTAACTTCTTAATGAGGGGTCTAGTAGAATTGCAAAGCTGGTCCAAGGGTGAATAGGAAATACTGCTATATATAGTTAGTGAATTAAAGAAAGAAGGCTGAAATAAAAATAGGTTGAAGGGCACTTGGGTGGCTCAGTGGGTTAAGCGTCTGCCTCTGGCTCAGGTCATGATCTCGGAGTCCTGGGATCGAGCCCCACGTGGAGCTCTCTGTTCAGCGGGGAGTCTGCTTCTCCCTCTCCCTCTGTGCACTCTCTCTCTCTCTCAAATAAATTAATAAAAGATTTAAAAAAAATAGGTTGAGTATCAAATTGGTTGATATCGTACATGGCAATAAAACCATAACCTTTTGTGGTATCTTTCTACCAGACAAAATCATTTGTCTTGCTTTCTGAACAAAAATCATTTGCAATTTACGTTTTTTAAAAAAATAATTTAACATCTAATTTCATAGAATTTGGGCCCAATCAATAGTAAATAGTATGTTAAAAAAATGCATTATTCCAGAGAACTGGATAATCTTTGGGAGGAACTGTTAGACAATGCTCTACTGTATCATTGAGAGGACATGCATTCATTAGTTTACCTTACCTTCAAGTTGAGATAACTTTTTATATTATTCTTTACCTTGTACAAAAAATAGTACTTTGTCTAATACTATGTGTCAACACTTTGTATGCAATATTTCATTTAGTTCTCATGAATATCAATAAACAATCTGAAAAGCATAAGGCTTTTTAGGAAACTGATTATTTCCATGGAAAATGTTCTTATGAGAATAAACTTAGATAAAGGAGTTTGAATATTTTGAAGGTTATTGATATATAGAGCCAAATTCATTTCTACAAGGGATATGGCTATCTGTACTACTCATGTAGAGAAGTCTACTCTGACCATCATACTGACAGAGTTGGACATCATCATTCTCAAAATCATGCAATTTGGTAGATGCAAAATTAAACCTCATTTCAATTTACCTATATATATCTGGTTACTTATAAAGTTGATATTTTAAAACACGGTTTTATTATTTTCTTTTAAAATTGTTATTTGCGGGGTGCCTGGGTGGCTCAGTTGGTTAAGCGACTGCCTTCAGCTCAGGTCATGATCCTGGAGTCCCAGGATCCAGTCCCTCATCAGGCTTTCTGCTCAGCAGGGAGTCTGCTTCTCCCCTCATGTGCTCTCTCTCTCTCAAAATAAATAAAATCTTTAAAAAAAATAAAAAAAATAAAATTGTTATTTGCTTATTTTTCTATTTAGCTATTAGTGCCCAGGTGTTCTATTCCTTTCAGCTTTTAATATCTAAGGGACATTAACCCTTTGTGTTTTATTCTTACACATCAAAGAGCTTGTCATAAATAGTATTAATAGCATATTTTATGTGAGGAATAATAACATCCTAAATGAGATTCATCTGTACTAACTTGAAACTCAACGTAAGATTATGCTAATAAAGATGTAATGTTGTTTCCTCTTGTTCCATTGAAACTCTCCTAATGAAAAATGTTTTATGTGAAAACTATATGTACAAGTAATGTTAATAAGGGTGGAGAACCGAAACTAGAGGAAACATAGGGATATTTGTAAATGCAAAATTCTTTGTGAATTGACTGCAGTCATTATATTAATAAGTAAACAGTATAGCTTTAGGGGATTATATTTTGAACAATTTAGAATAACTGGGCAATCTTCCATAATAGTATAAATCATTGTTTTTGTGACATGCTTGTAACATAAAATAAAAACCGAAACTGAAGTATACCCACCATTATTTATGTTAAATATAATGTGTGTGTGTATATATGTATGTAATATATATGTATAAACCAAAATATATCATCACTGCTTTTCGTATTTTAAAGGTTTTCTCTAGTCACACTGCTATAGATCCATTGAAAAGATGGGTATATTTTCTTAAAATTATCCATTCTTCCAGTAATTGAAAAAAAGGTCATTGAATTAAGGCATTTTCTAATTCATAACAAATTGGGATTTATATATAATATTTATGAACAATTATAAACAATACATAACAGATTTAAAATAAAATACAGTCACATAAAATATATATGTTTATTTACATATAGAAATACACATATATACAATATGGAGCACAGGAGAGGAATTATAGTAAATACTGGAAAAAAATGATTTTTTTGAACTCTGTAGAATCTTGACTAAATTGATGCATGTAAGAATTATAGAAACCGTTAAGATCACTTTTTTGTTTGCTGTTGTTGGGGGTGAGGGGGACTCATAAAGAAAGTGTGTGCCATTCATGTTCTCTGCCAAGATCCAGAGATCCACTAGCTTCAAGTGAGTCAGTGTGAACCCATAGTGCTTTGATTTCCTTTCCCTCGCTCCCTCCCCTAGCCGCGGAAGCCAAAGATTGGAAGCTTGGCGTTGCCCAGCAGGGTGGGAAAGCGGGGGGAAGGTGAAGCGGCAGGGGTAAAGACAGGCAGGGAGGGAGTTGGTCTGGGGGCCGAAATCCTAGAAAAAACGACCTGGGGAAAACTCCCTGGGCCCTGGCCTCTGGCCCCTGGATGGCGCTTTCCCACGGCGTGGCGGGCGCAGGAGAGCTGGGTGGGGACTGTGCCTGGCCGCCAGCACTGACGTCCGCTCGCCCCTTTCTGCCCCGGCTGCGCGGGTCGTGGGTTCGAGATCGCGTGATGCCCGCTCTCACCCATCGACCTTCGCTGCACACTTCGAGTTCCATGAAGTCCTCCAGGCGCTTCCTCTCCGACTTCACGAGTTGAGAGGCGGGAGCGAACAGTTGGCTCTTCCTTCAAACTCGCCTGCCCCAAAGGCTCAGTAAATGCCAAAGACCGGGCAGGGGTCTGTGTTAACGCCTCGGGAGTCGGACCCCAAATCCCGGCTGATTCTTACTGCCGATGCTGTCGTCAGTCAGCCTCGGAGCACTTTGGTCCTTCAGCTCCTTCGACTTTTGGAAAATGAATTTGAAAAGTGTGGAGGAGTGGACTGGGGGATACTTCTAAGCTCCAATTTCCAAGTGACCTCTGAGTCCACCTTGATTCAGTCTCCGGCTTCGCTCCTCCTCAACATATTTTACAGCCCTGACACCCCCCCGCCCCCCCCCGCCCAACGGGAGGGGATTTTTGTGCCGGATCGGTAGACAAAAAGTTCTTGGCCCTCACTCTTGCTTGCCACGATCAGATTACTTTTCACAGACTGGAGCTGTTGCGAGGTAGGGGTATTTACTTTTAATCCTTTTATGTGTTTATTTCACCTTGTGTGATTGGGTGTGGAAAGCGGGGGAGGGGAGGTTTCCAAATGGAGTGAAATTCCCATTCCATGGGTATTACCATGCCCGTGCGGTTGGCAGTTCTTAAAGTTTAGCAAGTCTGCAAATAACTACCGAACACAATAGAGTCCCCCTCCCTTCCTCTCTCTCTCTCTCTCTCGCTCTCTCTCTCTTTTTTTTCTTTTCCTGCTTTCAAACGCCTTCTTCGAGGCTGAAGCTGGGCAGGTCTCCAAAGGTGCAGCAGCCACAACAATCCAGCAGTTCAAAGTTAGGCAGCAGTTGCACAACTTCTAGCAACTCTCTTCGCCGGCTGCTAATGAGCTGAAAGCCAGGAACGTTTGAGGAGGTGAAGAGAAAACTTTCAATACTCCTCCCTTCACCTAGAAATCCAGATAACCCCCCACCCCCATCCCCAGATAACTTTGAGATACGGCAGATACCCCACCCCCACCCCCATCCCCAGATAACTTTGAGATACGGCCCCTTCTCTTGGCTTGCCTGGCGGACCATGGCTCCCTTTGGAAGAAACTTGCTAAAGACTCGGCATAAAAACAGGTAAAGTCCAGCGTGTGTGTCCTGGGGTGGGGGTGGGGGGGCTTATGTGTGAAAGTAGGTGTTTTGCTGCAATTAGATTCTGATGAAAATTGCTCTTAGGGGGAAAAGCTCTAGGGAATGAAGTTTTGTATTTATATTCAGCTGGCAAGGATATTATTCCACCTGGAGGACCATTGAAAAGAAAAAATATATATATTCTTTTGATTCTTTTTGTTTCCCCCTTTGGCCAGTCCCGGTTCCACAGCTACCATCACCAAAATCTCTCTTTGTGTTGCTTTGCATATTTGAAAGTAGTGGGAAGGCAAGTTTCATTTTGGTTGACACAGAATTTTGGCATATTATAGGAAGGGTTAAAATTTTGATGAAGATATAACTAGAATTTATTAGCCACTAATTAGAACAAAAAACACAGCTGCTGATACAATCCGGAAACAATGCTTTGGCTCCCCCTTAGAGTGGGGCATTCCTGAAACCTGGAAAGTTCCCAAAGTGAAAATACTCTGTAGAGAAACTTTTGTGAACTGATTGTTTCAAATATCTTTGAGAGCTTTAGGTGGTTTTAGGCACAAAAGGAGGATTCAAGCAGCTGTCCTCCTTAATCCATATTACTACAATTTTGATTTGTTTTGCTATTTCAAGCCTGCAGTGCCCACAGTGTAAATGTGTAAATAAATGTTTTTCTCTTTCTCTCTCTCTCCCTCTCTCTGTCTGTCTCTCTCTCTCTGTCACGCACACACACAGATTTTTCTTCAGCCAGTATGTGTGTTTCAATCCTATTAAATATTTTATTAACACCCCAAATGTTACATTTATATGCTAAAACAATGTGTGGATAATTTTAGATATGGGCTTTACTCTATTAGTATTTTATTTTGGAATAAGGGCTTTTCCATAACTCTTTTCTCCATCGTGCTTGTTAGTACTTGTCATAATTTACTCAGGGTAAATTTAAAAGCATACAATTACATGGTAGGAAATGACACAATTATTTTAAAGTGTCTGCATGATAATTTATGGTGATACAATTTTAAAGTAAATCTCCACATTTTGGGCATAAATGTCTACTTGAAAAATTCTGTTTTTAATTCATTCCAAATGTTTTCATGATTTAGTTGATTAAGTTTGCCTAAGAAACAAAAACAACAATATCCAGTACTACGAAACTTTCTAAACCAGTTTTATTTGCTATAATTTGGTAATGTATCACAAATATGACATTTCTGGTAATTAGTGAAACTATATGTTAAAATAAATATGTCTGGATATTCTTTTAAAAATATGTTAGTGATTGTTATTAAAAATAGGTTGTATTTTAGTGGTATCCGTGCATTAAAAAATAATCCCAAAAGGCTTCCCTTACGAATAGAAAAGTTTTACTACTTTTTAAATGATTACGAAGTAGCATTATTTTTGAAGTACGTTTGTTTAAATGCCATTGAAATATATAAAAGTTACTTGGGAAAGTTCGTGGTCTTATAAAACAAATTAAGTTTCTGGCATGCTGAGCCTTCTAAATATACCCTTGTAGTTCAGGGTTGTTTCATGTATGTGTGTTTTTGTTTCGATTTTGATTATTATTAATTCTAAAATTCTGTCATTGGTTTGCCAAATAACAGTTCACTATAACTTTGTGTGCACCCCTGTGAGTTTCCCTCAGGGAAGTACATGTCTACTTACATTATCTCAATACATGTCCACTTACATTATCTCAATTCTGCCCCTGTATCATCTACCCATAAAACTAGCTTTCATTCAGGGAGGTGAGTATACAGTTTTGTTTTGTTTTGTTTTGTTTTAAGATTTTATTTATTCATTTAAGACAGAGAGATACAGAGAGAGAGAGAGCATGAGCAGGGGGAGAGGCAGAGGGAAAGGGAGAAGCAGGCTCCCCGCTGAGCCAGGAGCCAGACATGGGGCTCAGTCCCAGGACCCTGGGATCATGACCTGAGCCAAAGGCAGACGCTTAACCATCTGAGCCACCCGGGTGCTGTATACAGTTTTTAATATGACATTTTCTATGCAAAATTATGAAAAGAAAATGGAAAGAAAGAACAATAAAAAATGAGGAGTTTAACAGTATTTCAAGTTTTCCTGAGAAAATGGAATGGTGTTCCCAATGGTGATGTTTTATTATGAATGTGTTTTGATGAAAGTGGTAATAGTGAGGATATGTGTAAGTTGCTCTAATAATTGAGTGCTTCCCTTTACAAATTTGTACTTTTCTATCCTTAAGAAAAATTGTAAGCCAAGCAGTGGTCAGAGAGATAAAAATATGGGTGTCTCAAACTAAGCAGTACATAAGCCACATGGTGTATTGAAATAGAATTAATGTATATTTATTTTTTCAGTGTCCAGTATTACTATAGATGAGATATTTTTGTTTTGTTCTGCTTTGTTTTTGCACCTTCTCAAAAGGTGAAACTACATGTGAAACTTAGTGACATGATTAAGTCCAATCTTGTTTACTGGGTTCCATAATGATTTAAATAATCTTACTTGGACATATTGAAATTAAGTATCTTTCCTTAAATGACAAGTGATTCATCCTTGATAGTAAATGTGATTGATGATAAAACATTTATCTGATAACAGCTAAGGCATTCCTCAAATATATAGTATAAAAATCCTTGTAGAATGCAAAGGAAGAATTTGAGCAATGCATTTGTGTATCTTGTGATGTATAATTTATACAGGTAAAAGAGCTACTTGAACATAATTGCATCTTTGTCAGCAGGAAAAAATATAGCTTACTAGAAGAAATCATAAAATTTGAAATCAAGAAATTTGAGATCATAAAATTTTGACACTGTTTATTGAACTTTTTTGCATCTATTCTCTGTCTTTTCCAAGTATGGGGCATAAATTCTTTTAGAAAATACAAGCTGTAAAGCTTAGAGAGAGCAGTGCCGTATCTGTCTAGTCACCATTGTGTTTTTATGCCTAGGACAGCGCCTAGATATCATGGACCTGTGATACAATTATTTATATAATTTTGTAAATTAAATTATAAAAAATATAGTTGCTATTTTATTCTTATTTGTCATCTGAGCTCAGTTGGTATTGTATAAAAGTGAAGACCTCACAAAAGATTGGTTGACATTTGATATAATCCCAAACCCAAGGAAATAGAGAAATAATTTTATGGATTTGGACGCCAAGTTAATCTTACCCCACTAGAGATTCTGTTCTAAATTTTAAGAAGCATTTAAATTAAAAAATGAGGCAACAGTCTTTGGGGAATTTGAGACTAATGCATGGTCATGAATGATGGTATTTTGGTGCACAAACTTTGTATGCTTTTCATTTCTAACTTTCATATACATAAAAGAAATGGAGCCAATCTAAGATCCTTTATATTTATAATCAGAATTAATCTTTTAAACTTTTCTAATTGTAGTAACAATGCCACAAATGCTTCATCAGAAGGAAGAATTAAGTTTTGCGGTTAAGGTAAAGTTTGCTGGCAAAATGGATGTTTCCTCTGAAATTAGAAGTATGGTAATTTGTGAATTCTGCAGAATGGAAAAATTATCATGTACTATTTTGTCTAACCTCAAATAAATACTTAAAATGTTCCTGAAAATGGATTGAGAAATGCACGATATTTGAGTATGTACATCTTTTTAGTTCCCAGGAGTTTCTGAAAGAGATTTCCCCTGATGATACTTGGTAACTTAAGTAGTTATTAGTTGGCAGCAGACAGCCCATTAGGAACAATGACTGGAATGCTTTATCCCTGGCAAAAATATACCAAGAGCCCTGAAGACAGTGAAATTGAGCTTTAGATTAAATCTTGAATTGTTACTCAAATGACTAAAGCCAACTTAAGAATCTACCACATAAGATGTTGTATTATGTACTATTTCAATTCATGAAACATGTCAAGGTGAAAGGTTCCTAAATGGAATTTTTGAAAAAAAAATGTTTAAAAGTTTGTAGCTGATTAACAATTTTATTTACAGAACACCTTTATTACCTGGACTGCATAACTTATAAAGCTTTGATGGTATTTGATTGGTATGTAGTTCCAGGAGATCTGATAATAGCTGGAAAAATTCACGAAAATGTGGCTCTCTTTTTTTAATTTTAGTTCTGAAAATAGAATAAAGTTGAGTAGCAGCATGTATTTACCTCGTACAGGAGTATGTGAATACCAGTCCTTGATAAGGAATTTCTTTGTCTGTAGCATATTGGCTTTCTAAAATGAGGCAATATGTTATCTGTACTATGTATATGTGAAAGAAAAAAGTTCAACATGCTTCTGGGCTTTAATGTTCTGTAATGTATATTTGCTTAGGAGTTTTTAAGGACTTCTTTCTGGCAAAACATACACAACACATATAACATTTCCTTTTTAAAAAAAATAGATTGAGATTCCATTCTTGTCTGACCTGTTGTAATTCTACACCTAGTAGAAAAAGTTTGCATATTTGTTGATTATCATTTAAGAAAACTTACTAATGTAAATGGTCACCCAAGGGCAAAGTAATTAGGTCTTGTAAATGGAATAGAATCCTGGGTTCATGCTCAGCACTGGCAGTGAGAAGCAAGATATTTCAAGAATAAGAATGATCAATGGGTGTTAAATATGCTGACAAACAAGGAAAGTTTTCCTCAAAGGTTTATATCTGCAGGCTAGAATGGCCTCTGTTTTTATAAATAAAGTGACTTAAGATATCTATACAAAAAATTCTCATTGAGTATACTCAGTGAGAGCAGGGACCTTACCTATCTTGTTCCTTTCTAGGTAATCCATGAGTAGTTTCACAAACATTTGCTGATCGAATAAATGGACTCAACATATACTCTTCAAATACACCTGGTCCCCATACAGTGCTTGGATCAGAGTACTTCAGTACATTTGTGTTGAGTGGATGCATAAGTAACTTAAAGAATGAATCCATAAATTCAAGGTTGACCTCTCATTATTCCTGCTCTTAAGCTCAATTCCTCCTTGCTTTCAAATGGTAAAGGGCCATATCTGACAAATAGACTTTACT